TTTTTCCTTTTTGATATGGTTTATCCTAATGGAAACTTCTCAAGGTCAATCTTACTCTAATCCTAATACTTGAATGCCAATCCAACTAGGTCACTGTCAAAATGAATGAAAGCTCATCAATGTTAATCCTACTCTAATTAGGATACTTGAATGTCAAATCTAATATGTAACTGCCAAGGTTGGGCTATAAATAGGTCTTTTCTCCTTTCCTCTTGTTCTATTCCATGAGAAGATTAGACTGAAGAGTGATGTAGGGAAGAGGCGACGTGAGTGAAGTAGACATGGGTGAGGCAGGCATGGGCACTGAGGTGGCTGGTGCAGGCGCAACAACAGCGTGGCAATAGGCAGCGGGCACCGCATAGGCAACAGGCACCGGTCTAGACGGTGCGAGCACGGGCGAAGGCACAAGTAAGGGCACAAGAGCTGGTCAGAACAATGACGTGGGTGCTCGGGGCGCCGTGGCTGACTTTGGCACATGGGTAGGTGTAGGTACAAGAGCGAGCACAAGAGCTTGGGCTCAAGTGGCAGGTGTTGTGGCACAAGCATTTTGGGCTAGGTGCCAAGAATTAGCTGCGCGCAGAGACAGAGACCAAACAAGTGGAGAAATGATGATGATAGTGCACCTCCTTATCCACGATGACACAAATATCATGATAAAGTGGGTACTAATGATGGTTCTAAGGAGAGCTCCATCTCTAGCTCCCTCAACACTGATGTTGAGATTGCTATTATTATATTCACTTTTTGTATTCCCCATATGGTGTTGTGTCGTCGGACGGAGATGGGGGAGCCAGCCTCTAATGACTCATTGGGGGAAATTGTTATTTATGAGGAGGTACTTGTGGCAGAGTTAAGGTTTCTTGTACCTTTTCTTGTTTGCCGGATCCTTCATTCTTTTTCACTTACGCTAGGACATTTATTGCCCAATGGTTGGAGTGTTTTGCTGGAATTTCTTATACTATGGAGGAGGTGTATTATGATGATGCCTCCTAAAGAGTTTTGTTGCCTATACTTTGAGTGAAACTCCTGCTCCAAATCGTGGTTGATATTATTTTACTCCGAGGGAAGAAAAATTAATTGTTGGGCTGTGATCTTGTTTGTAGAAGGAGAGTGGGCTTCAAAGGCCGATAAGGCTTTAGTACTAGTGAGGTGGAGCCTCCCCAAGAGGATAGTTACAACTGTCCTCTTTTTTTTTTTTTTTTGGTATTTACCACATTTTTTCTAGACTCCTCAATGTTCTTAGTGGATTAGGAGTGGAAGCTTCAGGTTGTGAGAGCTTGTCCCGTAAGGGACTACGGGACCCTCATGCCTAGAGAGGGTAAGGCTAGGGACCCCCCTTCTGGAGGTGCTAGGGGTGGTGTGTCTTCTTCCCAAGCTGGCAGCTCATCGAAGAGAAAGGGTATGTTGGCTTTCTTCAAGTTTCTCTCTCTCTTTATTTATTTATTAGGGTAACACTTTACCCTTCTATAGTGGATAGGATTGTGGTGGAGTCCCGTTATTCCACTAGAGGTATTCCTCCACCCAAGATGGCCAGAGTGGATAATGTTTTAATTACCCCTTCTCAGGTGACCACTCCAGTAGCTCCTACCCAGATTGCTTTTTCAGTAATTTTCCTAAAGGTTCCTCTAGTTACCACTCCAGAGGTGACTGTCCCTCTAGAGGCTCCCCAGGTGATCGCTCCTCCTACTAGCCGTACATCTAATACTCCAGCAAGGACTTCTGCAGAGGTAGGTTCTTAGATGCTATCCATGCTAGATGACGTGCAGATTGTAAGGGATTGACTTGGAGATTTGTGTCATTTGTAGAGATCGCATAGGTTGGTGCTCGGGGCACTGAGGGCATTATTGACACCATCTTGGGAGGCTTGGCTCAAGTAAACGTTTGTTCTCTTCCTTGCCGTTGTGCCTCTTTTGTGGTGCTGACATTTCTTTATCTTTTTTTAGGTTTTTATTGCTTTTGAATGCCTTTTTTCAAAGTCTATTCAGTTCAGCCAGCTATACTCGACCATTAAGGAAGAGAGGCTTGCACAAAAAGCTGTAAAGGGGGAGTTGCTAGTGGCTTAGGAGAGAATTGTTAAGCTTAAGGTTGACGGTGAGGCTTCCCAAGTGAAGTTTGTGGCAACCCGTGAAAGGGCTGCTCTTAGTGAGGCTGTTTGCTCTAGGGTAGAGATAGAGCTTTATGACGACCCGTGAGAAGGCCGCACATAATGAGGCTGCCTGCACGAGGGCAGAGGCAGAGCTTATGGTAAATTGCGAAAGGGTCATTAAGCTGAAGGCTAATGGTGAGGCTTTTTGCTTGAGAACAGAGACAGAGTTGGAGGCAGCTTGTAAGAGGGTTTCCCTAGCTGAGGCCAATCTGCGATTGGCCAGTGAGAGGGCTGCCAAAGCCAAGGTTGATTTAGAGGGGCGGCTTTGCTGATGTTTTCATTGATGGCTCCGATGNGTTTTCATTGATGGCTACGAGGAGCTTAGAGGGAAGATTTCGACTGCCTTCCTTGATATTGACTTCTCAAGGCTTGTTTCTTATGAGGTGCCTTGGGCGATGATTATGATGATGATAACGGGGACTCTGATAGCAGAGCAGAGGATGATAAGGAAGAGGACGACGATAACGAGAATAACTAGAGTATTGGAGACTTTTTGATTTTTATTTGTTGTTAGCGAGAGTAGTTAGGTTTTCACTTGTGGGGTTGAACTTCTAACTTGGAATGCTGTGCATTTAAGAGACTGACCATATAGTTTTTGATGTGTACTAGTTATTTTTGTTGCTGAACAGAGTTTGTGGCTCATAGGAAGGGTAGAGCTTTAGAATCGGGTAACATATATAAGTTATATATAAATTTTTAAGAACCTAAGAAAAAACATATAGTTTCGAAAAATTAGATATAAGGTATTTTTGCCCTAAATCAATTCAATTCAATCAGTCTGATTTCTGCATCTGCACTTCTCCCGTCTCTTCTCCACTTCATAGTGACAAACGAACAGGCAAAGAATTTAGTCCAGCGTTTGCCTTGCACAGGGACTCTTTCTCCATGATCTCTCTCTGCAACTGTAAGTGTCTCTCTCACAATTGGTTCAACTTCCTATTCACGCTTTTGTGTATTTTTCTAGTTTTTCGGTAATAGTACATACTGAAAAGACAAAAACAAAAAGATAAAGTAAAGTCTTATTTGGTTTGCGACTTCAAAAATAATATTTGAAAGCTATTTTTGATAAAAGTTTTAGAAAAGTGTGTGTTTGGTATTTTTTGTGTCACTGAATTTATTTGGTTATATAATTTCAAGAATAGTTTTACAGAATAAAATACAATAAAATTTGTTTGGATAATAACATAAACAATAATGAAAACAAAAAAAGTGGTGGTGGTGGTGGCAGGGGAATCATAGTAGTTGTAGTGTAAGTGTGGTGGTGGTAGTGGTAGTGTTTTATAAATTATAGAAATGTTGCTTAAAAAATCATACAAAATAGTTTTAACTTATTCTCTAAATTTATCCATTTTTTGTCTTAGTTTTCAAAAAATAATTACAAAAAATAGTTGGCCTAACAGTTTTTCTCCAAAAACTGTTTCCAAAAATAAAAAAATAATTTATGAGATGCAAACAAAATAGAGCCTAAATTTCTGAAGTGTAATTTATGGGGCAATTAATAGTTTGTTCTAGCGGTACTTCAATGTTGAAAAATCTCATGAGTAAAAAATCATCACAAAAGAAACAATAATTTATGTAGCTCAGCTTTAAAAAACTTGTGTCCATGGCTAAACACAAGCTAGGAATTCCCTTTATTGGTACATGAATGGATATAAGATAGGCCGCTTTACATAAGCTTTGTCCTTTAGTACTATACATCTATCTAAAAAAGATTCTATCATATCTATATCGGGGTCGAAGCTAATGTTTTACCGTGTGCTTTGAGTGATGAAGAGTAGGTTTAGTTTTAACGAACTACCGTAATTATGCAGACTCGAACCCAAGTATTGAGCGAAAAAATTCGAGTCCTTACTCACTAGGCCAAACAGCTCGTTGATACAAGTTAGAAATTCGAATATAAGATCAAGGACATACAAAATAATGGCCACACCCAACACTTTCCAAGAATTATATTTTTGCTAGATTATTAATTGACCTAATAATTACTAAGGATGTCAAATGTGTCGGGTTAAATAGTTACTTGTTGGGTTAAACGGGTGATGAGTAAAAAATATATAAACCCGTACACGATACGTTTAATAAACGGGTAAAAAATTTCAATACGGACATTACTCGTTTAATAAACGGGTATTACGACACGACTCATTTAATCCGTTTAATTTAAAAAAAATTATATTAATAAATTTTAATACTCCATTTTTTTTATTGCCAATTGCATTTACCTCAAAAAAGAGACATTTTTAGCTAAATCTTATAAAAATAAGACTTAAAAGCCTAAAAAAAAAAACAAGAGGTCATTGTTTTTTATAAACAACTCAGCCCTCCCCATCTCCCCTCGTTTTCTAATATGGGATAAAAACAAAAGATATTGGTTTGCCTTTGTTTTTGAAGTGCTCTTAATCTCATATCCTTTGTTATTGAACAACTACTTTACTTTTTTTTTATTAATTTATTTGTTTTTTTTTTATTAAAATTTTAAAATAATTATTAATTTATTATTATGTTAATTTTATTTAACAGGTAAACGTGTGATAAACGGTTTGACAGGTTTCACCCGAACACGACCTGTTTATTAAACATGTTTGACGTGTCATTCTGTTTATCACCCAAATTCGTTAAAATATCACCCAAATTTGTTTAATTTATATCGATTAATCGTGTCGTGTCGAATTTTGACAATCGTAACAATTACACCGCTGACCCGATCCATCTACCGTTTTGATTTTGGATTCTATTCTTACTTTAATTACGGAACCATGGAATAAAAAGAATAGGGGGCTGATTCGCGGGGCGTTGGTAATTTGGTAATAGTAGCGTAATAGATGCGCATTAGTAATAAAGCTATTATGGATGGATGAGGGTTTACACCGGCGGCGGTACAAGTTGGGGTAGGGCGTTACTCTCATCTCGCAAACCCCCGCCTCTTCCTCCTCCGTTTTCATCTATACCCCTGCTTGTGGCGGCGGCGATCGGAACCAACATATTTTCGCCGATTAGGATTCGTGGTTGGCTTCTTCGGCCTTCGATTCGTCCACTAACCCGACACGCTTATATTGCTTCGTCTTATTCCATTTCAATTCACAATTCTTGTCCGAAGAAGACTGCCACTGTTTCTGTAATGGGCTCGCAGCAGCAGGCGAAGAAGCTGATATGGCCGGCCAACAAGGTCAGGGACACTTTTATCAAATTCTTCGAAGACAAAGGCCACGTTCACTGGAAATCCAGCCCTGTTGTTCCCGTCAATGACCCTACCCTCCTCTTTGCCAACGCCGGTTAGTTCCATCCTCTCTCTCTACACACACACAGACTCATCTTTGTAAAGACACAGACATGAGTATCGAGATTAACGAATCATTTATTGCCCTGTTAGATATACCCCCTTGATTGCAATTCAACCTGATTTTCATGTCACTTGGCTGGCATGCTGTTATTTGACAGGTATGAATCAATATAAGCCTATATTCTTGGGCACTGTTGATCCAAACACCCCCTTGAGCAAACTCACTCGTGCTTGCAACACCCAGAAGTGCATCCGAGCTGGTGGCAAACACAATGATCTGGACGATGTCGGCAAAGACACTTACCACCATACTTTCTTCGAGATGCTTGGTAATTGGTCATTTGGGGATTACTTCAAAACAGAAGCCATTGAATGGGCTTGGGAGCTCCTCACCAAGGCAAGTCACCGCACCTTGTAAATCTCTCTCCCCTCCGCCTGCACTTTTGTTTTTTCAGTGACAGCATGTGAATATTGGTGACCAGTTGTTGCAAGACTTAAGAAATTTTGATCGATTTACCTTTTGCTGTCCTTTTTATTACGTATCAAAAAACTGTTACGTAATAAAAAGATAACTAAGGACATTGAGAAATGTATATGAAGGCACTTTTGTTTATACCTATCAACATATTTGCATCTAAAACTTCAAAATTAAGCATAAATTTATATAAATTCATCTATTAGTCAATTTCATATTCTCAATCAATCAACAAACACTAAAACCAAACTATGTAGTTTCATAGTTTGCACAAAACAACTTGTAAAGAAGGTTACACAAAAAAATAACTCTGGCAATGGTTACACAATGTTGATGTGAGCTATTTGTTATCAAGTTGATCAATCTCAACTTGTAAATTTCTTTGATGATTGTTTCACTGATATCACAGACAAAAAAATTCCAACTATTTCAATTATTCCACACATAAAACGAAAATCAAATAAATAATTCGTGCAAAAAATCAAAAAAACCAAAGACTCAATCCCATACAGTACCTAGGCCACCCTGAATAAGTGCACAACTGAACTGTTGTAGCTCAGAGCTTCAAACTTACCATGGCTTCGATGGATTTTTCGGTTGTCAACCCTGCAAAGAACATTAAAGAACAATTAAAACAGATTTGTAGATGAGAGAGCGAGGGGAAATAGATTTTTGGCTAGGGAATATGTTAACACGGTCAACTGCTGAGTTGAATCGCCAAACGGTCAACTAAGGGTTGGGCTGAACTTTTTTCTCTTCTCTGACATTTTCTCGATAATCTAGAAATCACCTCATGAAATACGGCAAGAACAAAATACATACACTAATAAACATACACACTCTCATCAAACTGAACAGGTCCAATCAAGCAAAATAGAGACAATCAAAATTTCAAAACAAACCAATTCAAGAACTATTAAACAAATTAATATTGAGCATCTTCATCAGCACCAACAAAGATATTCACAAAATTGAAAAGAGCAAAACAGACACACATGTAGATATACCTGTAACAAAGACAAAAAAGCAAAACACAACAAACTGATTTGTCNTATTCACAAAATTGAAAAGAGCAAAACAGACACACATGTAGATATACCTGTAACAAAGACAAAAAAGCAAAACAAAACAAACTGATTTGCCACAACAACATTCTGATTCCATTAAATAATAAGAAAATTCAGTTCATCTACAAACCAAATGGCTTCAAGGATTCAAACCCAAAACATCGCATTCAGTTTCCCTCATCCTTTTTGGATTTTTTCCCATTGGTTGACCTTCTCCTTAGCACCCTGCAAAAAATTAAAAGTCATAACACCATGAAGCATTAAATGTTATTATCTTCATGAACATTGATAACACAAACTTCCAACAAAAATAAAAAATTAATGCTAAAACACACCTCCAAGCCTAAAACTATTAGAAGCAAACAATCATAACATAAACCAATCATCTTTATCATCTTTAGTAACATCTACAAAAGCCTATTCTTTTGTAAGAAACATGTAAGCATTTTCTAACAACCACAACTATTGGCCATATATTCCCCCTCACCTCAAGCTAATGCCACTTTTTGGACCCAACCAAAGGGAAAATTTATGCATATTAGTGCTTATCATCCATCATAATAATACACTAATGAGAACCAAATAACCTAATGAGAACCAATTAAATCAAACAGAAAAAAAAAGGGTATTAAAATTGAGAGACCCAACTCAAGAAAAAAATGGGCGGTGGGATCCTGATGATATTATTTTAAAATTCTCGAATGTTTTTAAGGTTTAGTTTCAAGCACCTAGTTGTTTACTTCAATTGTTTAATTCATGTTCTTTTGAATTTGGTCGATTTTTGTTCATGGATCTTCACCCAGTCACCTTCTCAAATAATACCACCCCAAAACTGAAGACAAAACTTTTTGAAATTAAAGGATATCACCTCTTTCACATTTTATAAACACATAAAATCACCTAATTAACATGTTCACTCAAATGAATATGCATTTCATTGATACCTATAATAGAGATCCTAATCTTTTGCGGTTACAATTGTGTCACACACTAACAATCATTCAACTTTGATCACTTCAAAATCACAAAAAATCATTGTTTTGTGTTGAAGGTAATAATTTAAAAAATAATATCAAAACATAAATAATTTAATTTACTGTTGTCTCGGCGAGAAAAATTGACCGCTCTACAATATCGATTTTCTTTGTAATTTCAAAATTCCGCGATCCACGATTCATCTACTTTACTGGAGCATCCTATCAGCTCGAAAATGCCAACAAAAATGAAAATAAAATTTATAGACTTTTTGTAAGTATGGGAGTAAGGAACTAAATTACCAAATGCCAAATTTTGGCAAAACAGAGAAGTACATAAGTTACTTTATAAAAGGAACAATACCTTTTTTTTTAGGTATTTTCACGAAACCCATCTACAGAAAAAGTAGATATGGAACAAAACAAACTAATTCTACCAAATCAATGAAAGGCATCAAAACCAAGCATCCCACTTAACCAAATTCGAAAGCATTAAACTTACCAAAATGAAGGACCTATAAACATTCCAAACAACATATAAAAACCCCTAAATTCCTACTTGCTTAGCGAACAGATAAAGTCACCATGTGTTCAGTTGTGTGTGTGCCGTAAATGTTGGGTGTGTGCGTGTTGTGTGTGCGCTCTAAGAGTTATGGGCATTTGGTAGAACACCTTGTTTGCGTTGTGTGTGAAGAAAACAAGAGAGAGAGAAGTAGAGCGAGAGAGATGCAGAGGAAACAATTACAGTATTGTACCCGGAGAGACAGATGATAAGCGGAGAGAGAGAAAACAGATAGCGAGAGAAACAACGGCTGGAGAGAGTAATGAGAGAGAGGGGGCAGTGGCCGATTGAGAGGGGCTCATTTCTAGGGCTTGAATTGGGAGAGACATGATTTCTGTATCACCAAGTATGGAAAGGGAAATTAAACAACAAAAACAAAGGTAAAAGAGAAAAAAATAATGCAAAGATCAATAAAACGCACAAACAAAAAAGAGCAACACATAGGAAAGTCATCGCAATTAGGTATCACTGACTAACCAATGCATGGCCATAAATTCACCAATACCCTTAATCAAGATTCAATCAAACAACCAGAATCGTAAAAGCGAGTGCGTTTTACTCAAGGACATAATACAACACTTCTTATGCCAAAACAATACAAAAATGCAATACCCAAAAAAAAAAAAAAATTAAAGAAAGGACATGAGGTAAACGGCAGAGAAGTGTTCTTCAAGAAAACTCAATCTTTCTGGTCAAGCTTCCCTATTTCCCAATAATGGTGCAAATTTAAGAAAGCCCATCACATGAGCATTATATTATATGAAGATCACTTCGTGGGGGAAAAAATTGACACTAAATAGATTCTCTAATTAGCAACTAAACCATTCTCTAACCCCGATAGTCTGCGTCAAGCAATTTTGCATAGTCAGTTTTCGAATTCAAGCATGTTATCTTTCAATGGTGCAGATGGTCACTTGTTTGCTAGTTCAATATCAGGTCAATTAACTTGAGTGTCAACAAGAACCAAAGGGACCCTCGGTTATTCCCTACTTTCAGCTAATCAGATCATAAAACATCCAATGTTAAGCATAATAAAAAAAATGGCCAAGATCAGGAAGCAAGTAGAACCTTAACTTAGACTAATCAAACTCGCACCTTTGCAATGCATCTCATAACAGACATTTTGGTTCAGAATCCTCCAAGATGTGATTTACTGAGAGGATCATCAAGCATCTTGTTCACATTGGATCAAACTAATGTTGACAGAGCAGACATAGGAAATTCATAATTTCAACACATTATACCCCAAAAAATAGGTACACAGGAAATTCATAATAATAATCTATAATATAAAAGCAACAAAATTTTTGTTGGTCATTCCAACAAACACTTGGTGTCCAAAGTGTGTGGGTTTGTTTGTGATGTGTGTTGGGTCTGTGTTGGGTGTGGGTGTGCTGGGTTTGTTTTTTTGTGTGTGTGTGTGTGCGATTTGTGTGTGGGTGGTGTGTGTGTGTGTGCGATTTGTGTGTGGGTGATGAGTGTGTGTGTGTGTGGTGTGCTCTGTGGGTGTGTGTGCAATGTGATATCGATCACTCTCCCTAATGGGCATTAATGTGTGTTTGTGTGTGTGTGAGAGAGAGAGGTTAGGGATACCTGTGAGGGGTTAGTAGTGGCGGTGGTGCTGCTGAAGAAGTAGTGGAGGTGTTGGGGACGTAACAGAGAGAGAGGGGTCAGAATTTTGAATGAGTGAAAGGGAGGAAAAAAAAAAGAAATAGAAGATGTAGCCGGAGAGGTATGGCTCTTCTGACAGAAGGGACGGGGAAAAAGAAGAGACCGGTGAGGTGACTGAATATTGATTGAGAGGTTAAAATTTTGAAAAATATTGTGTGTGAAAAATGATGATTTTGGGGGGAAAATTGATGATATTGTGGATGATTTTGGGTAGTTGGATGAATTGATTTGAGATCGTTGGATGTTGATGCCACCCTGTTTTATATTATAGATTTTAATATTAGGCTTAGGGTGCAAATTTGGTCTCAAACTTGGTTTTGTAGCTATGAAGTACGGATACTTCGTTAAGGTCGACGACGTATATTGGTATTAGATACGATACTCGTTGGTATTGGATACACACCAAACGTATTCAACAATAAATAAAATATATGAATATTTCGCGGATACTTCTATATGTGGAGAAGCATATGTAATTTTTAGTTTTAATCTTTATCCCTTCTTTTTGATTTCACATATAACGCAATACATCAACAAAAAATTATATGACTTGGAAAGACATATGTGTGTATTTTAAGTATTATCCATTATCACATGTCCAAAGAGTTTAAATGAGTTGATTATTCCATAATTTTAGCAACAAATGTTTTTAAGCAACTAATATAGTTAAAATGTTGGTTCTTATTCCTTTAAGCACATTGTAGATGTACCATAGTGACATGAAATATAACTTTTTGAAAATAAAAAATTATTAATGTTGTTTATTATTGTTAAAGAATTACTAAAAATTATAGACATCAAATCATTACACAATAGTAAAAATATAAATAATATATTTATAGACGTATCCCGGCCATATTCATATTGTATTTTTTGGGATTTTGTTGTATTTGTATCGTATCCATATCTTGTATCTGTATACGTGCTTCCTAATTTTATAGTCTTGGTCTTCTTTATTTCCTCTTTCTTTTTTTCTTTTGAACTTGTGGGAATGTACTATACTCTATCATTTGACCTGAAATGTATTCAATCCGCTTAATCAAGAATACATTCATGGAAATCAATTTTCTAACTCAGAAAATCATAAAATTGACTTATTTAACTCTTTTTATGCTACGTGTTATATTTCATTCCAAATCAAATTGTGTCAAATCCAAAGATTTGGAATTAACTTGCATCTGCATTGCTTGTTGATTATTTTCTACTGATAGTTGTTTGAAATAGCTGATGATCTTATCCTTTGTTTTGTCATTGCTTTTTGGTCTGCAGGTTTATAGATTACCTGCTGATCGATTCTATGCCACCTATTTTGGTGGTGATGAGAAATCTGGTCTTCCTGCTGATGATGAGGCTAGGGACATGTGGCTCAAATTTCTTCCACCTACACGTGTGTTGCCTTTTGGGACTAAAGTATGGTTGCTCCTCTTTTTGTTGGCCCTCTTATATTCTGTGATGACAAGCATTATGATACTTCTTGGTGAATCCTGTCTCATGATATCAAAGTGTGCAATGAATGTTATAGTGAATTATTTTCTGTACCTTCATAGGACATAGATTTCATTTTTAAATCATGAGGGTCTTCAGAATACCAGTCTTTTTTTTTCCTTTATGCCTGCTTGAGGAAAATGAGAACCTTTTCCCTGGAGAAATAAGGAATTGAATACCCAAAGAAAGTGAGAATGAAAAAGAGAAAAATAAAGAGGTGGCTATATATTATACTTCCGTTTCAGTCCTAATCCTTAAAACATTGTTGCAGGGCCCGATCAAACATGAAATAATGATATTGACAAATCAGCTAGTTAGATCAACCTTGATGCATAATGTTTATATTTGTTGCTTTGAGCAGGACAACTTTTGGGAGATGGGCGATACTGGACCGTGTGGACCATGTACTGAAATACATTTTGATAGAATTGGGAATCGAGATGCAGCTTCAATGGTTAACAACGATGACCCAACAGTGATTGAGATATGGAATCTTGTCTTTATTCAGGTAACAGTTTCCATCTAGTAGACAATTTATCTCAGGAGTTTCTGTGCACATAACTTCAAAAGATTTCACATGTTTTGGAAATATGGGCCTGCTGATATTGTGGGTGTCATGCATATTTGCATGTGTATTGTGTGGTTGGACAATCAAGTCTAAAATATGTGTGCCGTGGATTCATGTCTCTTTTTTTAGTGCAGCATTATAGTTTGCCTTTTTTTCTGAGTTTGACATGGTGTTGAATTTTCTTGATGTCTCTCCCACAGTTTAACAGGGAAGGTGATGGTTCTCTGAAACCGCTGCCTGCTAAGCATGTTGATACTGGAATGGGTTTTGAAAGATTAACGTCTATTCTTCAAGAAACAATGAGCAATTATGATACCGATGTGTTCCTACCCATTTTTGATGCTATCCAGCAGGTAAGATGATGACATGTTGGACATTTTGTAAGTAAGATTAGAGTGAGTAGTTGCCAAACTGTTCTACGATTAGAACATCTATGGTTGTCCTTTCAATATACTGATATTTTTCTGAGTGAGATTGCAGTTTCATTAGTTTTGCATCAACACAGAGCTACTGTCTTCCTTTCATGATTCGTATGATGACTCCCATAAAAACAGCCTCAATATTTTGTTTTGTTTTGTTTTGTTCTCTCTGTTTTCCATCCATTTCCATCTCTCTCTCTCTCTGTCTTTCTCTGTCTGTCTCTGGTTTGTTTTGTTCCCCCACCCCTCTTCTGGGTACAATTCATGGAAGTTGAGCTTCTCTCATGATGTCTAGTTTTGGTAAAGTGAGCTATGGTAATCTGCCACAAGCATGACTTTTTTAAGGATCATTTTTGATTAAGAGTACTGAAAACCATATTTTATATCGGAAAACAAATATTATGCATACTTCCGGTAAATATGGAGAAGATTTTTTCATGTTGGAGCTGTGAATCTTTGATAGTTGAAAGAAATAATTCATACCCCTTCAGTCTGTGGCTTTGTTGGGTGAACCAAGTAAATAAATATCTTATATGAATTCTAGAGGTATTCATACTTATTTGGAAGACTTATTTGAAAATTTTTCCCTATGAAGTTATCATAAGCGGAAAGATTGAGGTACTCTGGATGCAGATTGCAGAGTTTGGTATGACTTCATTGGTACTTGAGGATTAATTTATGGTCTTGGTGTTTGTTTTATGCTTGTTAGCGTGTTAACATAGATGGCACTATTGTAATGACTATATGCCCTAAGAGGTATATTAGTCCTTTGGTATCATTTCCACACATATCTACATACACACATACAGAAATATATATATATATATATATATATATATA